GGACTTGAGATCCTATTTACAAACACCATTAGAACAAATCTCTCTATTCATTAAGAGAATGTAACTATATATCTATCCTAACCATTTTGAATCAGATACAAAATGGACATTCATCTGTATACCCCTTTTTTGCTAAGTTCCGTCATTTGAATATTATATGTGTGTAAACTCAGCAAAATATTTTAAAGAGTCCGGTAGCCCATAATAGCATTAGGTCTTCTGTTTAACTGGCAATGTCAGAAATTATTGACCTGAGTCCCCCACAGCGCAACATAACAGCACAGCTTTACTTCCTATATTTCGTCTTCATACTTTTCTACTGGATGGTTAAGACCAAGGTAAAGCAGGATCTATGCAACAAGAGTTGTAGCTTTTGGTAGACTAAGCAATTTATAAGCAATTAGAAGTTTATTTGGCTCATGATCCTGGAGGCTGGGAAGTCTAAGAGCCTGGCATCAGCACCAGGCAAGGAGCACTGGGCCCAGCATGGCCTGGTGGAAGGACACACAAGCACCTGAGCCAGAGAGGGAAAGTCAGGCGGGACTCATCTTTTTATCAGGAGCCCACTCCTACAATAACCGACCCACTCTCCCCCTAGAAGCCTTAATTCCTTTGTGAAGACAGAGCTCTTATGATCAAGCACCTAAAGGCATCACCTCTTAGCACTGTTATGGTGGAAATTAACCTTCACAATGAGTGGTGGAGTGCATGTCGCAGCCGATCACATTCACACTCTATATGTCTTCTTGAGAAAATTTTGGTAGCTTGCGTCTGTCTAGGAATTTGTACATTGCATCCCAGGTCTTCCAGTTTGCTGGTATAAAGTTGTGCATGGTATCTCTTTATTTTTTTTTCCATAATTCTGAGAGACAAATAACAATGAGACTAAATGTAATTGTCTTTCTTTCTTTCTTCCTTTTTTTTTTTTTTTGGTGAAACCAGGGATTGAACTCAGGCCCTTGCCCTTGCCAGGTAAGTACTTAATCTACTGAGCCATCTCCCTGGCCCCCTATCTCTTTAGAATCCCATTTATTTCTGCAAGGCCGTTGTCAGTGTTCCAAATTTTAAATTTTCTTTTCTTTTCTCACAGAATCAGCATGTCTTCATTTTTCTCTACTTTTTGTTTGTTTGCTTGCTTGCTTGACAGGAACTTACGCCATAGTTCAGGTTGGTTTTGAATTCACTATGTAGTCCAGCATGACCATAAACTCCTGGCCATCCTCCTGCCTCCTGAGTGCTGGGATTACAAGCATGTGCCACTGTGCCTGGCCTCTAACTTTTTTCTCTTCTAGTCTTTATTATTTTCTTCTCTCTTTTACTTTGTGCTTCTTTTCCTAGCTTCATAAAACATGAGGTCAGGGGTGGGGAGATACTCAGTGGCATAAATACTTGCCTGGCAAGCACAAGGTCCTGAGTGTGATCCCTGGTATCAAAAAATTAAGAAAAAAAATGGGAGCTCAATTTACTAGTTTGAGTTCTCACTTCTCTTAGTATTGTCTATTACATCCATAGATTTCTTCTATGTACTGCAATAGTTACCTCTCTTAAGTTTTTTTTTTTTTTTCAGTCACTGTCTCAGCATGCCCCTGGGTCGAGGCCAGCACAGCACACTGGGGATTGAACCCCAGTCCCTGCATCTCTCTAAGGAGGTATTTTAATCCACTGAGCTATCTGGCCGGCCCAACCTCCCTTAAGTTTTGATGTGTTGAATCTTCATTCTCATTGATCTCAAAGTATTTTCTAACTTTTTGTGATCTTTTGTCTTGTGATTATGTAACAGTATATTGTTTAATTTTGACATATTTGTGAAATTTTGTAAATTTTGGGGGGGAAGGGAGTACTGGGGATGGAACTCAGGATCTTGCATTTGCCAGACAGGCACTTAAGCCCCTGAGCTTTCACCCTGGCTCTACATTTTCCAATGTCTATGTCACTGATTTCTAGTTTCATTCCATTGTCATCAATAACATACTTTATCTCAACTATTTTAATACCTTAAAATTTTACTGACATCAGTCTTATGACTTAGTATATAATTTATCTTGGAGAATACTCTATGTGCATTTAAGAAAAAATATGACCAGGTGTTGTTGGGAACATTTATAAATCTAGTCATTTGGATTTTTTTTTTTTTTTGGCTAGTTCAGGCTGCCTTAAGGGCAGGTCTAGTGCAGCATGTGGAGCTGGGGATTTAACTGAGGTCCCCTGTGCTTGTCTGAGTTTGCCCAAGCAGGTGCTTTAAACAACTGAGCTAGCCAGCAAGCCCCAAATCTAGTCATTTGGGAGGGTGAAGCAAGATGATTGCAAGTTCAAGGCCAGCCTGGCAACTTAATGGACTGTGTCTTAAAATTTATAATAAATAAATAAATAAATAAATAAGGCTGGGGATGTAGCTCAGCGACATAATGCTTGCAAGGCTCTCCATCCAATCCCCAGTGCTGCAGCACAAAAACTCCAAGAACAAAAGATGTGCCTTCTGCTGTTACTGGGTTTCTGTTGAGGCTGGCTGTATCCCATTGCCTGAGCTTTATTTACTTGCTCGCTGCCTTCTTGTTCCATCCTTTATTACAAGTTCAGTATTTAAGTGTTCTTATTGTTGAACTATTTCTCCTCTCAATTCTGTCAGTTTTTACTTCATACATATTGGAACTAATATATATATTATATATATATATATATATATATTCCTAAAAGATGGATCCTTTTATCATTATGAAATTTTTCTCTTTATCTCCAATAATATATTATGTTTTCTCCCAGACATGGAGGAACATAACTGTAATTCCAGCTCTTGAGAGGCTGAGGCAGGAGGATCACCAAAAGTTTGTCCCAGCAATGAGTAAAAAATAACTGAGACAGAATTTGGTACCAAGAGTGAGGTCGTTGCTCTGACTATATCTGACAATGTGGATTATGAGTTTTTAGGAGTGGCTTATGGGAAGGGATAGAAAAGATTTGGAGATGTCACCTATGAGTGAAGAGCTGGAATACCTTCAGCTCTTCTGTATGTATGGGAGATTCTGGTCAGAGCTCAGAAGACCAGAATGCTGATAGAGAGCCTGCCTGTAAAGACCAGGCTGGGGAGGTTTCTGCCGGGAAGGACTACATTGAGTGTTGGACTGCAGGTGATTTGTGTTATGGCCTGGCAGAGAGTTTGTCTGCATTTTGCTCTTGTCCAGAGACTTTGCCTGAGAGTGAGATTAAGCACAGTAAACTAGTTAATCTCACAAAAGATACCTCAAGGCAGTTGAATGTTGAGGTAGTGGCACAGTTATTATTGGGGGCTTTTAGTCAGATATATGTTGAGAGTTGAGAGCAAAGAGCCCAGTAGAATGGTTTAAAGTGTTGAGTTTGGAGGGCCGGGAAGATGGCTCAGTGGAATAAGCACTTCCTTGGCAAGCGCAAGGGCCTGAGTTCAATCCCTGGTTCCACAAAAAAAAAAAAAAAAAAAGTTGAGTTTGGCCAGAAAGGAAGTACCAGGAAGGCTGTGGACTGCAAAGATAGAGCTGAGATCTACATTGTCCGGGAGGAAGAGAAAAATAAAAAAGATGTCCTGAAGGCATCACAGGAGGGAGCAGGTTCTTACCATTTGTAACCTCAGAATCCCAAGGGTGAGGGACTTTGCTTTGAGGAGAAATCCACAGAGCTCCATGTTCCAGAATGGAGGCAGTGGCTATACCAGGTTCCAGAATGGCACCAGGATAGAGAATTTATTCTTAGAAATCAGGTTCAGAGTGCTCAGCTCTCCAGGCACTCAGCCCTACAGCCAAGAGAAAAGAAAGCCTGACTGCTGCTCCAGCTGGCAGCAGCCCTCGACATCATCTACATGTCTTTGCTTTTAGGCATATTTAGAATACAGGAGTTCTGAGGTTAAAAAGGATTCCACCTAGATTTCAGAAGGCCTGGGAAGGCAGGCAGTGTGCCCCTGAGAGGACAGTGTGTAAAGCTGTGAGTGAAAAGCTTATTCAGTGAAAATCCCAGAAGTTTGAAAAAGCCAGAAACATGGAACATCTAAAAAAAAAAAAAACTACAAGGAGGGAGCAAAGCCAGCCTAGGAAAAAAGCATGGGAGTTACCAACAGAAGTGCCCCAGGGGTAGAGCCATATAGGGCTTTTGGAACTCACAACTCCTTACAGATTGCTTCGGAGGTTCTACATGGAACCACAGGACTTAATGTTTGCCCTTCTGGATTTTGGACTTGTTTTGGTCCCAGTGGTTTGTATCCTACTGTGTGTACCTTTTGGAATGGTGGTGTTTATTTTGTGCCTTTGAATGCTGGAAGTCTTTAACTTTTCATTTGTACAAGGGCTTACAGCTAAGAGTTTGCCTTAAATTACAGAGGAGATTTGGGACTTAGACTTTTCAGCAGTGCTGAAGCTGTTAGGACTTTGTAATTCTTAGAAACAGACTAAAACACCTTTTGCATAAAGGAATGTGCATGAGTCTTTGCAGGGGGGTGCTCAGCAAAATGTCATGGTTCTAATATAATACAATGTTCAAGTTGTAAAATGTTAATAAGA